TTTAATTATATGCATTTATGGTATAATTACAACATTACAAACAATGCGCTGTTACTTTAATTCAGCGCGTGAGGCGCAGCAAAAATAGACTCGGTGCAAAAACTATCTCTGCACTGCTGCAGACGCACCGCTCCTGGACGTTCGTTTGACGGTCAGGAAAATAAAAATGAACAAAATGCTGTAATTCTACAATTCTCCATCGTATTTACTATGCTGCGCGCAAGTTCAGGTAACTCAAGAACTTGCATACACGAGCTGAGACCAGACGTGAGATTTGATCGTAGCAACCGCTCACGTCCATATTGATAAATTCCAAGTTTTGCGTTGAAACGACCGTACGCCCAATTTTCTGTCGTACTTTCGTTTCGTAAATGAGGCCCATTGTGTTTTTCTCAGTGCATAACTGAGATGTCACAGGTATATTTTTCATCTGTAAATGTTAGAAAGTCATGCAAACATATCCATTTTGCTGTCAGGAGTAAAGTCATGCAAATATATCCATTTTGCTGTCAGGAGTGGGCGAGGCTTACGCGAGTGAACAAGCGCTGCTGCGCGCATGCGCGCTAAACAGACAGAGCGCAATCCAATAGGAGCGCAATAATTCTGAGTAAAATATACATTTTGCTAAAATATTGGTTGTTGGACATTAAATGTGTCGTTTGTAGAATTTTAACTCTACATATAAGTGTATTTTTATGATAGGAATAACTGTAAAGGGACTATTGTAATGGGTAAATCAAATGTAAGATAGTAGTCCTAATTACTAAGCTCAAATGAGTTAATGTGTGTTTCTTATACCAGTTAAAATATAGTCATTTTCTTTATTATTTATTTTCATTTTTAATTCAGTGATTTTAACTTTTAATTTAGTTATTTTAATGCTTTAAAGAGCAATTTTAGATTATAATGTTCTGCTATCTGTTCTGCAAACTATGAAAGGTACAGCTGTCATAAAACCAGAGAGAAAGGCTGCATGGCTAGTAACTGTAAAAAAAAATTAATAAATAAAAAATTTAAAAAAAAGGTCAAATAATAGTATGTGAGAGAGTGGTAATATAATTATGTTCCTATTGGTCAGCGTTAGAGGAACTCAGCTTAGTCTGAAAGTTACGCTGCTTTAGACCAGGTTAGTTTCCCAGCATAAGTTGCCACAGTGACTACCTTGATCTAGAGCAGCGTCTCAGCTTAGTCTGAAAGTTACGCTGCTTTAGACCAGGTTAGTTTCCCAGCATAAGTTGCCACAGTGACTACCTTGATCTAGGCCTATGTTAAATTTGCTTTATGGAACAAAATCATTTGACAATAAGTCAGACTACCTGAAATAAGCCAGGCTTATTTGGTAAACTTGTTTTATGAAACAGTCCTCGAGGCATTAGAAGTGATCATATTTTTTTCCAATGCATCATATTGGATCGAATCGCATTGTGTTGAATCGAATCGAAATCGGATCGCACTGCATTGTAATAGGGGTCAATCGTATCGCATCGCATCGGTAGCTGCTTCATATGTATCTTTAATGTACCGTATCGTTGGCTATGAATCGGGATGCGTATTGTATCGGCTTCAGTCATGAGATGCACATTCCTAGTTCACGCAAAGAAAGAAGGCGTAACTTTTATTCTCGCTGTAGTATTGTTGCTGCTGCCGCCGCCGCCATGTCGTGAAGGCACTGTTTCAGTTGTGAAAGCGAAACTACTTTGTTTGGCCTTCCAAAAGAGGACGATATCCGCTTACCGTGGACGAAGTGGAGTCCAGCCCGGGGTCGTCACATGTGGTTGCCGCAAGCCCTCCGGCCGCTCCTTCGTCGAATCCGCCGGCCGCTCCTCACTCTAGCCCGCCGCTCACTCTAGCCCACCGGCCTACGCTCACTCTAGCATGCCGGTGTAGTGCTGAAATTTGCACCCTGCCAGATTATGCACCCCCTAGTATTGGTAGGTTTAGGAGTATCACAAATGCAGACTTGGTTTTATATTTACGCAGTGTAGCATTTGGACCAATCAGACACACAACTTTTTGTTATATTTAACAAATAATATCTAATGCCCCGTCACATAACCAAAGGGCCAATTACGAGGGTCTAAGGACCCTTCCCCTGAAATGCATCTAACACCTCAGAAAGGCAGAACATGCTAAGAATCGTGTTGGAGCTTGAACCGGTGCGGGCGTGCCCGGTGGGCTCCAACACATAGCCAGTTCAGTCTGCGGTTCTGTTAGATTCTGAGAAGATGAGGATGTGAGATAGAACGCTCTTAAGGACACCCTAAGTTTGCGCCAGGCTTCGGCCTTGACTTTCCATTCACCAAGATCCTTTGACTCAAACTGGTTCTTTTTCATCAACCAACTTCAGCAAAGATCAACTTGAGCCTTCAGATTGCATCAGGACTCT